TAGGAATAGTAGTACAAGTAGTAGTTTATTTTATTATTTATATACATACTGTATATATGAAGGTGTTTTAAACCCTTCCCACACTCTTGCAATATTCTAAACCATGTTTCTAAACTCGAAACTCTCTAAAAGAACACAGAATATCATGGTTTCCGCTCTCTGCCTCCGGCTGCTCTCTGCCAGCGCTCTCGGCCACGCCCACTTCTCCACTGCAGTGCAGAGATATGACATGCTGCAGGAGGAGGCTTCTCCTGCAGCTATGGCCTGCACACATTCTGCGGCTCATCCATCAATCACCCAACTGTGTCATGTCCAATGTTATTTTGAAAAACCGCGATAGAGCGAATTCGCGTCAAACGAACCGCGAAGTAGCGAGGCACTACTGTTTACAGAACACAGAACATATAAAAGAGGTGCAACACTAAATAAAAACAGTGAACAGGTGTACATAAGTCCATTAAACATGACAAAACTAAGACAACATTGACCGAACCGACAAAACTTTGGAGTTATTCACCTGCCATACCTTAAATTTCAAATACTTTATGTCTTGCTGATATTCCAACTAACAGCTAGATTTTCAGGCAACAAATCTTCAAACGAATAAATCCTTAAATCATTACATTCCAGCTCATGCAAATATTCATTTCAATTTTAAAGTAATCCATTGGCAACCACTGTCGATGGGACGTAATGTGTGAAAATGATGTGCTGGCGCTACAGAGGCTGTGCCAACAGAACGACAATTAGCAGATTTGTCACGGTGGACTCACAAACTCTGTCTTGTCACAGATCACTCAAGTGAAAAAGAGTAGAAACCCCATAAATCTTTACAAAAAGAAACAGAAGGCTGAGCAGAATGGCTGAAAAGTGTCCAACCGGTCCTGGTTTGAGTCCTCAGGGGGGAGTTGGTTCAATTTCTGACATTAATTACAGAAAATATGAAGCCACTTTAAAATCCGTTTTGAGTTTGACGTTAAAACAGGGTCATACTTTCAACAAACATTTCATAGGTGAATTTTTTTTTGCCATCTGTCACTGGAAATGTTGACTTCTTACTTAAATTTAATCACCATGCCCAATAAGTGGTAATAAATGTCTTTGCTGCCTGACATAGACAGAAGCAGGTTTCACAGCTTCATAGTTGGGCCTGTGCTCTAAATCAGGTTAACGATTGACAAGTATTTCAAAAATCTATCATATTTGGATGACTCAAAGTTGATAGGTGTGTAATTGCGTGTGCTGATTTACGGCATCGCTGCACCACAAGCCGCTGCACCTCTGTGGTCGGCTCTGGACCCAGGTCCCGTCGCAGCCTTTCATCTTGACAATAAAGAGCTACCAGCTGCTCGCACCGGCAGCTTGTTAAATGAGATCTCTTATCAAAGTGCGAACAGCTGTGAGTTCTGTTTGGCAGTCCGGTCAGGCTATGAATCACCGAGGGCTGCACTCGATAGCTACCGCCTAAAGGGGAAAGAGAAAAAAAATAATGCCATTCTTCCACTGCATTCCTGCAAGTCTCACTCTGTGGAGCGTTGCTACCAAATGGAGGGTCACCAACTACTGGACAAAAAGAGGAGAATCAAAACAATAACCTGTTTATGATGTTGGAGCAGCAATTATCTGCATTTATATTCACTGGTGGGATCTGGTCTTCATCAGCCAGTAGCAATGAGATGTCACATGTTGCTCCTGTAGTATTTAAATAATGCAACAACTTAATTAAATGTGGTGCTTTTCAGACATCTGTTAAGGTAGAACTAAAACCAAATGTCTTAGTTGTGTTGTCTCTGCTTCTTTGTGAACTTTGATCCCTGAGCTTATTGAAATAGGATGCAACGTTGACCCAACATAGTAGGAAATTCAATTCATGCACAAACATAGTTATTAACATTTTTTTATTAACCTTTATTCAACCAGGCAAGTCCCACTGAGATCACAAATTTCTTTACTGAGGGATGCCCGAGCCTGAAGGGAGCCTAACATGCATGTTTTTTGTTGTTGTTCGTTTTGTTTTTTCGGATGTTCTATTCAGTTCAGTTCTAAATACTTTATTAATCCCAAAGGGAAATTAAATGTCGTTGTAACTCATTATCCTCGTTTTATTAAGAGATGTTATAGATACTGATGGCTGTAGGCAGAAAGGATCTCTTGTAATGATCCGTCACAGCAGAGCCAAAGAAACTGGTCGCAAATGCCGTCCGATCTGTCCACCCAGACTCAGCTAGCCTTGGTTCCTCCGGGCTGCAGGGCCGCCCAATGCCAGGCTGAACTCCTCCCAAAGCGATGGACACTCCTTCCAGCCGTCTGCCGAGCTCCTCGTCGCTGCGGACAGACAGCCAGGTCATGATCCCGGTCCTTCTGCTGTCACGAGCCACGTTTCCTGCCTGTTCCAGGATCTCAGTGGTCAGGCACTCGAGCACAGCCGGCAGGGAGACGAGAATGCATCCACGGCACCTCCTTTTCAACTCATTTGAGATTTGAGGCTGTAGTTGAGATATTATTTGAGCTTTTGAGATGTTAATCAGCTGCTCCTGGTTGTAATAAAACTCATTATTGTTATGGTTATGCATCATAACAAATATCCAAAACTAAAAAAAGTTTCAGTAGAAATTCTTCCAGCTGCACAGAATCTGATAGCAGAGGAAACAAAATGTGATCTACATCCAGCAAAAGAGGATTTAAAAGTTTACTAAAGCAAAATCTCAGAAGAGCTACTCCAACATGCAGCCACACCGAGCGGCGCAATTCTAGAATACTTCACGTTTACTGGAAACCCACTGGTTTATTCAGTTGTAGTTTTGCCATAGTCAATAGTTTGTTGTCCCCCATCGCAGAGCGAAGAGGGGGAATTTGAACAACCCCCCGTCCTTCTGTCCGTACATGTTGTGAGCATGAAGACGTGAAAAATAAGTGAGGTACTAACTTCCATTTTGGTTTGTGGCTACAAAAAGGTAAGAAAGAGAAGTGCCTTTCAAAAATCAGGTTGCCATGTGAAAATCCAAGATGGCTGCCACCATATGTGTCTTTATGCTAACCTGGTGAGCGCTATAACTTAAAAAATAAGCAACTTCCGTTGAAGTGTGTGGTCGCATCAAGGCGTAAAAAAGGCCCCATCAAAATCCAAGATGGCTGCCACCATTTATTTTCTGTTCAGTGTTTAATGCACGGATGTTGTTAAAACATTTTACAGCCAACTTGATGAGCCACTTGTCAGAGAGAGACCAGCCTGTCTTCATCATAGTTAATGGGCTCTTTCGTGGCGTTTACTTTCCTGTGCACATAGATTAGATGTTTTTTTTAAATCATGCATGTGCAAAACTGTTCAGTTGAAGAGTGAGTTTAAAAGTTATGTCGTGGAGAATTTGAATAAAAAATGGCAGCTTTCAATTGTTTTTATAAAGTCCTCATTTGTTTATTTCTTACACAGATATTAGTACCTTCTTTGTTTAGTGAGTATTCAAAGCTAAAAGTTTAATTTGCATATGTCCGGGAATGCTCTTACATTGTCTGCAGCCTTTTTATTGTTTCAAAAATTGCCCCGTATAAAACAATTCCTGGTTTATTGGAACAATTAAACCCAGATCTATTCAAATTTTCTCTTATGATTTTCTCCTTTGGGTGCAACAACATTTAGCTGATGAAAAGAGAAACTTTCTAAAAGGCTCTATTATTAGCTTTTCTTGTTGCTTTAAATGTTTGCAGACCAGAGTTACTCCTTTATACTGTAGTCCTTGTTTGTCAGTTTTTGTTTTGTTTGCCACATTTATTTCAGCCTTGAGGCCGCAGCCATGTCATGCATAACAAATCTATTTTTTTTATGTCCTGGTTATGTCCATTCAGATGGTTCTGTCACCGTTTCTCCAGATGTTAGTGTCCTCGGTGTAGCTATGGGGCGACTCAACTCTGCAGCCATCTGTCTGCAGACAGATGTGATGCTGAAGTCGATGCTTCATTCAGTGTTCAATAAACTATAAGCTGCTGGGCATCATGTGCAACTGTGAGTTCTGGATGCTTTAGCTCTGCAATACAACGATGCTTGAGGAGGTAAAAAACTTTACAGGTTTAAATATTTGATGAGTTGATTGTTTTTCTGTTCCAAGTTTTAAGTCTTTAGTTCGTGTCGGTCTTTAAACCAGTGGTTTTCAATAAAATATTAAGAGCTCTGCCTAAAGCTAGCTCAATATATCTAAATATATACATTAAAATCATCTTTTAGTGACAGCCATGCTAGTTTTATTTACTCGCCACAACGTTTTTTTAGACTCATACCTCTCTGTTGGAGGTTAGCAGCTGGGAGAAACTGAAGGCTTGATGTGGGATTTACCAAAAATACACAAGAAAATATGCCCTACTGAAAATAAATTGCTTTAAGAAAAGAAGAAAGGCTGTGCTGTATTAAATAAATTACCATAATTTGTAGAAAATCTTTGCCACCTAAGATGAATTATTGTTACTGTGGGGAAAAAAAATGGTGTTGCTTAAAATAAATTACTGTAATTACAAGAAAACAAGCTTTAAAATAATGAAAAACAACAAATTTATACATATAACCAAGTATTTTAAAATTTTTTTTTTCATTTTTTTTCATTTAGCCTTTATTTATACAGGTAGTCTCATTGAGCCACGAGAACTAATTTTCAAGAGAGACCTGTTTAGGGAGCACATGGTGGGGTTAAGGGCCTTGCTCATGGGCCCAGAGTGGGGCGAATGAGGGTGGGGGCAAGTGTGGGTGTTTCACCTACCCCACCCACAATTTTTTTTTTTTAATTTAAAATAATTACTTGACTCTACTAAAATTTAATAACTGATTTGGGTCCTGATAAAACATTTTGGCCATCCATCCATCCATCCATCCATCCATCCATCCATTCATCCATCCATCCATCCATCCATCCATTCATCCATCCATCCATCCATCCATCAATCATCTTTACCGCTTCTTGCTTTTTGGGTCACTGGTGCCCATATCCAGCATTAACTGTACCAAAGGCAGGGGACTACGGTGGCCCTAAAGTGAAAATTAACAACATTTGAAAAAGAAAAAAAACGAAATTACATTTGAAAAAAACAGATTTATATTAAGCCAAAACAGAAATGACCAAAGTGGAAGTGGCTGGGATCATATATAGAAAAAAAACAAAATTACATTTGAAAAAAACGTAATTAATTACATTAAGTCAAACCGGAAGCGGTGTGGGTTTTTTTTTTTTACTCAATTCAATTCAATTCAGTTTATTTATATAGCGCCAAATCACAACAAAGTTGTCTCAGGGCACTTTACAGGAACATTCATATACATAAAACCAATTAGTAAAGTTCTTTATCTAAGGAATCCAGCAGACAAGTTGAATCTTGGCTTCGTTGCAGTCTCCCATCCTGAGCAAGCACAGTGGCAACAGTGGAAAGGGAAAAACTCCCTTTTAAAAGGAAGAAACCTCCAGCAACATAAACAATATAAAAAAGAACAATGTATAGTACACACACGACAGAGGTACAGTTAGCAGGCTAGCACACACAACGGAGGTACGTTGTGTGTGTTCTGTACATTGTTCTGTTGTTCTGTTTTATATTGTTAATAAACTAAAATAAAAAACTACCACCCCCCAGAAAAAAAAATACACCATTTCTGGTTTGGCTTAATGTAATAACGTTTTTTTCAAACGTGATTCCGTTTTTTCAAATGTAATTCTGGCCACTTCCACTTTGGTTTAATGTAATTCCGCTTTTTTCAAATGTGATCCCGTTGTTTCAAATGCGATTTCATTTTTTTCAAATATAATTCTTTTTTTTTTTTTCAAATGTGATTCTGGCCACTTCCACTTTGGCCACTTCTGCTTTAGCCACTTCCATTTTGGTTTAATGTGATTTCGTTTTTTCAAATATAATTCAGTTTTTTCAAATGTTCATTTACATGTTAGGGCCACCATAGGGAACTCCCTGGGCAGTTTGCAAGTAGCAAAACTTTTATTTCTTTTTTTTTTTTTCCTTTAGTATCCAAAAGATGCTTTTATTGATGCAAAATAAATAATAAAGTTGTTTCCTCTCTTTTGAACGGGCTCTTCTAACCACCACCTTGAGCAACACAGGCAAAGAAGAACTTTGGAACTTACTGCGTTCATCTCTCTGCTCATTAAACTACTTCTAGATTTACAAATTAAATCAGGTTTCCACCGTCAGCTCAACACCACGAGTCTCTGTAGGATTATAGCTCTACAACAATGTCGACAGCTTTTGCCTTTTGGCTTTCTTCACTGAGCCCCCGTACTAATTCCCTTTCCGCTCGCTCATTCGGCACAACCCTTCTCTATAAAAAAAGAGAAAAAGTAAAAAAAATGCCTACAGACTCAGAAGAATTAACATCCCTCAGCTGCCTGGCCATCACCAGTTGACTTCTGTTTCTCAGATGTTTATAACAATCCATTTTTGACCCAGCTGGTGCCAAGAAATTGTTTTTTAATTTAACCTCTTTACTGGTAAAAGCAACAGTATAGTGCGTTTTATTCACTGTGCTGCTCACTGTTATATTTTATAACCCCTATGTAACCTGAATGTGTAAAAAACTAACTCTTCAAGTGCTGAAGTTTAGTCATATGGTCACTGTAATGTACTGTGGACCATTAACTACGCCATCCATCCAATTGTCTTTAAGTCCTGATGTAACGGTAAACAAATAAATAAATAAAATGCATGAAGCTTAATAATCAAGACCAGACCATTTCCTCAAAACACCACTGGGTTTCTGAGTTTAGCAATTACTTCATGAAAGTATGTTTTCATTTACAAATAGGTGGAGCAAAAATGCATGGAGCTGATTTCTTTGAACTGTGTGGCTGTGACAGTTTAGAGACTTGCAGCCTTTTTCATCAGACTGGGCTGAAATTGATTTCTCGAGGCCCACAGTGTTTGTCTGACTGACGTGTCTGAGAAAGAGTTTTCTTTAGAAAGTAGAGAAGTTTGTAGATGGAGTAAGGCCAGGCCGTGCATGCTCAGAATGCAAACGGGCCCGCCAGAAAGAAACCGACGCGTGGACTGGCTGTAGGGGAAGACAAGAACCGGTTCCTTATAATGAAAAACACATAACCCGTTACGATTTACCGGGTGACTTTAAGATAAAACTTAAATTAATTAGTTTATTTGTCAAGGATTTAAAAAGAATAATTGCCAGAAAATAATTAAGCAAAATACGTGTTTCTTTTGTTCACCTGTTGCACAGTTAGGTTTATTATCAGAATATAAATATGAAATTCATGTCATGCTGCTATATGAAAAGATAAAAACTGAATAACAATAAAGACTGAGAACCTCTGTAGGTTTCTCATTGAAGGTGGGAAATAAACTACAATAATAAATACCCTTAGATAATTATAATTAAAGACAAAGAGATGGAGCAAAGCAGGAAGCCCAAAAACAAAAGCTGCAGGAGCAGATGATGCACAGAGGAAGAGGGAGTTTGAAGTGGGGATGAAGAGAAAATAAAAGACGCCCGCAGGGTAAAAGAGGCAGATTCGCTCCATCGCGGCACAAGAGCAACGTTTCTCTGGGACAGACGAGTCATTTACGGATCAGTTTCAACAAAAGGCCAACTCAAGCGACCGTGGTGAGATGAAAACCCAGACACAATTAACCTCCTAAACCCGAGAAGTTACTGCAACATCTTCTACAACCTCACCTCTATTAAAAGGCTAATACACTTTTGTTTTTGAGTTTAGATTTGTTTGCGTTGATGACTTAGTTTCGTTTGCTCGTGAGTTCACTTTTGAATCTATTTTTTTTTTTGCAAACGGGGTAAAGAAATTTGGTTTCTGTGTTGAACCCTCGCTGTTGGTTTTATCTGTTTGATGAAGCTATCAGCGTTTGTTTCCCCTGAAAACAATGTAGGACCAACGAAAAGACTGATAAATCTACTACTATTATTATTATTATCAGTGTAAAAGGACATATGACTCAGTTTTATGGGTGTGTAAAAAAAAAGACCAATAAAACACAGTTAGTTTTATATTGTTATGTCAACAGCTCTTTTTATTTTTATCAACTTGTTTTTATTTCATTAAATTAAAAATAATTTCAGGAGAGCCATTAACATGGTTCCGTAATTATCGTTCAAATAGGTCGCAGCAAGTGAAGGTTGGCTCATACTTCAGTTTCTTCCAGTTATGTTAGGTGCACACCAAGGCTCCATTCTTGGTCCAGTTCTTTTCTCCATATTTGTAAATGATACCTCACATTCTGTTAGTGAGGCCTCCATTCATTTATATGCCGATTACACTATTTTATATGCTTTTGGTTCTACTCCGGATGAGGTTGTAAAGTCCCTTGCATATGGTTTTCTTGAAATCCAGCAGGTCTTTTCTGACTTACATTTTTCCTTAAATGCCAAGAAAACTAAATTTATGTGGCTTGGCCATGGAGGAGGAACCACACCCACCTCAGTGGACTTCACAACTGTAAACTGTGAAATTATAGAAGAAGTAACAGTTAATAAATATTTGTGAATATGGATTGATGGTGCTCTGTCCTTTTCACATGTTAATGTTTTACAATCTAAGGTTAAAGTGAGACTTGGTTATCTATATAGAAATCTATTGGCTGCAAAACGCACCAATGTTGGAAAAAAAACATTTTACCTGTATTCGATTGTGGAGACATAATTGACAGACATGCTTGTAAGGGTGTCCTTTGTAAGCTGGACACAATGTATTGCTCTGCTATTCACTTTATTACAAATGCTCCTTATAGAACATCGTTGTCTCTACTGTCTTGTTAAATGGCTTCTCTACATACTTGTCATGCAATTCATTGGTTTACCCCCATTTATAAGATTTTGCTGGTTATTCACCTCCATATTTAACTAATCTACTGCAACTAGCACCGGTTTCTAAGTATAACACACAGTTCTCTCAGTATTTGTGGTGAACTACTCCAAAGACCAAGTCTGGCTTTGGCTCTGCTGCTCCATCCGACTGAAATCTGCTGCCAAACAACTTTGGGTCTGACGTCACTTGTCAGTTTCTAGTTTTAAAAATCATTTAAAAGCCATTTTTAAAGATACTTGTAAATGTTTTCATGCACAGTAATGTTGTCTTTGGACTTTGACAATGAGCTGTTAATGTAATTTGTGATTCTTTGTTGTTGACTTCTATATTTTATTGTTTACCTAACTGTAATGTTTCCCTTCCCTTGACCCTACAAATACCTGTTGGTGCTGCCCGTTCAGCACTGTAATGAAGACTTCCTTCTTAGTGTTTATATCTGGTTAAATAAAGGTGACATGAAAATAAGAAAAGGGTTTCGCAAGAAAGCAAAATGTCTCAAGGGAAAGTTCAAGAAATTATGATAATATCACAACTTTTTGGTTGCCTGACGTGAATTTAACAGGTAAAATATCACACCAAGTGTATAAAAAGGCATTGAGCATTTCAGGAAAGGAAGGAATGCAATTGTTAGCAGCCTTTAAAGCTGATTATAGATGTTTATTTTTGTGTTTGCAGAGGACCGTACCTGCCGGTCAGAACAGCCTGGCTCTGCAGCCTCTCCTGTCAGATACAGAGTACAAAGTCTCCATCACTCCTGTTTACGCCGAGGGAGACGGAGCTGTCACTTCGCAAAAGGGACGGACACGTAAGTCAGAAACGTTGCATTACTCATTACTGTTAATAAACTTCGTATACTTTTAAATGAGTGTGCAAACACAACGTGGACATCTGTACCACCTGCATCTGCAGCTTCTTTATTCTTTACACTTTTTTTAGAGCTCAGCCGTCGTGTTCTGAGTCAGTCTGACCCGTTTCTTAGTTCTTGTCACAGCTGACGTGTGATTTCTGTGAAAAGTCTCTTAAAACCCCCGTAGACTCCCCACTCAGCTGCGAACAACAGACAAATGCTGCTGGAGACCAGCTGTGAGTGCAACATGTGAAAGTTGACTTTAAAAACACTTAAAGCTAAAAGTTGGAACTAACCCACAGCTAGGAAGCTGAATTAATTCCCATGTTTTTCCACTTGCTTAGTCTCTGGGTTATGACAGAAGAGTTAATACTTAGTAGAATAATTCAACAACAATTGTGTTTTGTACGTTGTTTTAACAGTTTTCTAGCTTTGAGAACATTTCTTATGAGTTAGGTGTAAGAATGGGTTGAGCCTCGCTGTAAAAATGTAAGAAGGAGCTTTTTGCTCATAGTTCTATTACCAAGAATCTGCTTTTTGTGTCAATCTGCACAAACATCGAGCAGCAGCTGCAGTTTTTAAGATCTTGGGTGCCAAAATTGTGCCACAATACAAACATCTTAACTCTATTGGGTTTCTGAGTAGATTTGAGGGTAAATCAAGGTGACGTCTTCTTTCAAACTCCTTTGATTCTTTTAAACATGAGCAGCACATAAACGGACTGGCAACGTGTTTATTTATGTAAAATGCTTGATGTTCTGGACAGAAGGTTTCAGAGGTGGTATGAAATGAGGTAAAGGGCATTGTTCTTCTGGTCAAAATGAACAAAAGTGATTATTTTGTGATGGAAGTTGAAGCGCTGGAGAAACCTTCATGTGCATCAGTTTATTTGTTGATGTTTTTTGTTTTCCAATTCTACTGGTTTTTTTTTTTTTATATGGCAACTTCACTATGCTTTATGACAGTTTTAGAAGAACTACCTCCATGTCCTCTCTAATTGCATCCTCTTTGTCTCTTTCCTGGCAGCTGCATTTCTAACATCCTTCTACCAGTATACCCACTGTCCCTCTTCTGGACATGTCCAAACCATCTCAGTGTGTCCTCTCTAACTTTATCTCCCAGTTGTTCAACCTGTGCTGTACCTCTCATGATCTCATTCCTGATCTTCTCCATCCTTGTCACTCCTAAGGAGAACCTCAACATCTTCATTTCTGCCTCTTCCAGTTCTGTCTCCTGTCTTTTTGTCCATGTCTCTGTCTCCAGACCATACAACATAGCTGGTCTCACCACTGTCTTGTAAACGTTTCCTTTGACCTTTGCTGACACCTTTTTGTCACAAATAACTCCTGAAACTTTTCTCCATCCACTCCATCCTGTCTGGACTCTCTTCTTCTCCTCTTTACCACACTCCCCGTTTTCCTGGACAGTGGACCCCAAGTACTTGAAGTCCTGCACCTTTGTGACCTCTGCTTCTTGTAGCCTCACTGTTCCACCTCCTCCCCCTCATTCACACACATGCACTCTGTCTTACTACAGCTGACTTTCATTCCTCTTCTTTCAAGTGCATACCACCACCTCTCTAAGTTCTCTTCCACCTGTTTCCTGTTCTCACCACAGATAATGTCATCTGATTGCAAATTTTGTGGTACACCTGCATGTGTATTCAATACTTAATTTTACTATAGATGATATTCATGTACAAAATATTCATATTAAAAAAGCATAAAACTTGGGTATTTTGGTAGCTACAGTACTTTATCACTCAAGGTATGTGAAAGTAGTCTGATTTAAAAAATAAATTACAGAAGAGCCTATAAACAGGAAATACATAAATAAAAAGGGATGGGTGGAAAAATATGGGAGGTTGTTAATCTCAAACTAATTTCCAGTTTGTAAAATGAGACAGCCTGTTTCAGTGGCTCAAAAGAGCATCAACCATTTTCTAAAAAACTAATATATGTAAAAATGTAAATGCGACTGCATGCTGTAAATATTTAAGCAAGAGCTAAAGATTTCCTCTGCCGCCAATCGCATCGCCCAACAAACACTTGACTTTCAGCAAGAACAAAAGTCTAAATCCGAGTCATTTATCTTTCCTCTCCGTCCCATCATGTGTCCCTGAGCAGCACATTACACACATTAGCAGGCGTTAACGACGTTCCCCGACTTTTAAATGACGGGCCTCCGACACTCCGTGATGATGAATGACTCCTGTTAGCAAGTGAGGGATGAGAGGATCACCGGAGGAAAAGATGACGAGGAATGCGGGGGGTGATTAGTTTTTTTTTTTTTTAAGAGTGAGAATAGATGATGTGACAAAGGGAGCTGGTGTAATCTGAGGATTTGAACCTGTGGGAGCGAGGAGGTGAATGCTGAGGGAGGCCTGACACTGAAGGCAGCGGAGGTGATTGGCTGTTTATCCCATACCGAGGATGGATAATGTGGCAGGAGCAGCAGATTACTCTGAGGGGATGATCCACTGAGGGACAGGGTGATTAGTTAGAAAAGTGCTGGGGATTTTCAGAAAGGGTGACAGGTATTAAATCCTCAAAAAAAAAAAGAGAAACAAAAATACTAGCAATGTTGCATTTGGCATAAATTTGTGGGCAAATTAGCCAGTAATGAGTTTACTTCCACCCGTAAATGTCCTTGTTTTTGTCATTATCTTTAGAGGAGGAGCAGATAAATCTTTCAATACTGCTTTATTTTTTGGTGCATAAAATGAAAATGCTTCATGTAAGTCTTGTTTACAGCATTCAGACGTTTTCCTGTATGCAGTAGTCCCTCGTTTATCACGGGGGTTACGTTCTGGACCCCCTTGCAATAAGTGAAAAACTGCCAAGTAGGAACATTACATGTATTTTAGTATTTATTTATTTTAGTATGTATATTTTAAAAAATAGTATTTTTAATACGGATGCACAATATTGGATTTTTGGCCGATATGCCAATATGTTAAAACTTATTTGGCTGATAACCGATACCAATACAGATACTTTTCCCCCCTAGACCTACTTACAGAGACTATACAGCTTTCTCTGCTGTGGAATTAAAATCCTACATTATTCTGCATGGTCTTTGTCAAGTTGGCCTGCTACCAGATGCCAAAAGGGGGATTGAAAATGACGTAACTTCAACTTGGATTATGTTTAATGTTAAATTTATTCTTGACATTTACCCTCTCTAACACAATGACAACACTCGGACAGTGCAAATTAGTAAATTTTCACAACTCTAAACTCAATTTGTTCACAAGCAACAAGTAAAAAGTGCATAAGTAGTAAGTAGTGCATTAATAGATATTCTTGACCGTTTCTTAATTAAAAACTAACTTAAAACAGAAGCCTTTTATCTCGGTGAGTTATTTTGATGGAATGGCCGATGTCCGATATTTCACTTTATCGCTAATATCGGCCGATACGATAACATACCGATAATATTGTGCATCCCTATTTTTAGTATTTTTTTAGTATTTTAGTATTTATTTCAGTATGTATATTTTAAGGCTTTAGAAACTCTTCCCACACTCTTGCAATGTTCTAAACAATTAAACTTACGTAATTTTAACAATACACATATGTGTACTGCACAGTAGCTACTGTAAAATTTTGAATGGGTACTAACCAGCCTTGGTGAGTTGGTCCAGTTCTGATCCAGTTCTGATCGGTTTTCTGCAGCCCTTGAACACCAAGACATTTCGAGGGCGCCGGACCTTTGGATAGCCAGCACAAAACCACACAATGGTCCCGATCGAGTCCAAACCCGGATGAAAAAAATCAGATTGCACTCTTGGGAAATCACCAGACCTCCAAGCAACGTCCGCTTGAGAGGCCTCATGGTCCGGCAAACAGCACTCAGATTGACCGATGAGGCTGGAAGTCTGGTTCTGGTCCAATTCCCAGTCTGTTCCCCACAGCTCTCTGCATCCACTGAGTGCCAAAGTCACTTTGAATAAGGACCTAACCTTTTTGGATCAGATCAAAACTTTCCCTCCATTTCAGCAGAAAGCAACGTCCGGAAGCACTGTGGGCTTCTGGGTAATGCAGTCCTTTTGACTGGCAATAAAGTGTAGGCTTCTTGAGAGAAAACTACAAAATGGCAGTGCCTGTCTGAAGTTTTTTTTTTGTTTTTGTTAACTTTTTACTGTATCCCATCCTGTCCATTCCCGTGAGTAATATTAAAGTTGACAGTCGTGTGCTGTGCACAATCGTTTTATTTATTTTTTTGTCGTGTACTAGCATACTTTGAAAAACCGCGAAAGAGCGAGTCCACAAAAGTCAAACCGCGAAGTAGCGAGGTACTACTGTATAGTCAACCCTGTGTATTATGCAATTAAATTACTACTGCATACTTTGAGGCCACGGCTTTACCAAATGAGCAACTATAGTGACACAATAAAGAGTAAAAGAAAGTAGAACTTTTGAAAATCACTAAAAATACCAAACTCTTTGTGGTTTAAATTAGACATTTGTTGATATTAAACTGGTGGTTTCATTTCGCCTCTCTGACTTTCTCATATTTTGAATGTGAGCTGGAGTTCTCAGTTCAGTTTCTAACCAGTGGATGTTGTGACGCCTTATTTAAACAACTGTGAAACTCGCTGTGTAGAAGCTGAACACTTGGTTTGGATGTTCTCAGGAACATTTAGCAGCAGGTGGCATGAAGTGTCGTTTCTGAGCCTGAACTGATCCAGAATTCTTTCCAAAGCCTCTAAAAAGGTTTTTTTTTTTTTTAAAGTCAAGAATCAGCGTCTGCGCAAAGAGACTTTCACCGAACCACCAGTTTCTCATTACAGGTGAACACACCGAGGGAGGGATGACAGGGAGAGATGGGGATTTTTTTTTTCTTAGTTCCAGGAAAGCCCGTGGAGACGGATAATACAACAGGAAAGCAGGAAACGAGGATTTAAACGCACCAGTTTGCAGCAGATACTGATGGGCTTTTACAGCTCAAAACGTATGATTGGTTTTTCAACCCTGGACCTCCACAGTGGGCGGATAACGAAAATGAGGCGTGAGAGCTGCTGTGATTGGAAGCTTTCAGTTTGGAAGGAACCATCTTAGGGACAAATTACGTTTTTAGCTCTTTAAATGTCCAACAGAACAGCCAACAGACTCTTTCCAAGTTAAAAAAAATAATATATATATATATTCTCCATGGATCTGAATCAGTCAACAAGAGCTGCACACCAGTTGCAAATGGGACTGTGACGAAAAGTTCATTTCTGTTATGAAAGAATACACTTTATTTTTAAATAGACTGATGATGCTAGTTTTACTCTTGACACTGTGTGAATGTTTATGAAGCACCCACACTATTGTGATCCATTTTTCTTCTGTAGATTGTTCAGCATCTTTCTCGTTCCACAGTTTTTGCGCTATTTCAACAAATCATAAATCAAAACGTTCATCTCTTTCAGGACAATCCTGCTGTGACGTTTGTTATTGGTGCAACTTTAGCTTTTAGACATATTTAGCCTTTTCTGCGACTTTTTTCTCATAGAGTTGAGCTCATTTTACATCCTTCAACTCATTAGATGTGTTTACAACCTTTTACTGCTCCTTTCGCATTTTGTTCTGCTTCAGCTTCCGTGTGCAAATGTAAACTTTTTTCAGCTACTTTCAGCTGTTTTGTGAACCGTTCAGACTTTTTCTGCTAACTAGAAGGTTTTTGGGTTTCTTCTGTCGTCTTTCTGCTATTTTCAGCTTGTTATGCTCCTTTCAGCTAATCTCTGCTAGTTTCAACTTTTTATACAATTTCAGCTACTATTTAGCCGTTTTAATACTAATTTTAGCTTTTTCAGCCAATTCCATATTTTTTGCACTGATTTCAGCTCTTTCTGCTTATTTCTGATTAAGCGTTTTTCTTCCTTTTCAGCTACTTTCCGCTGTTTTTGTGCTAATTTTAGCTTCTTTTTTTTTCAAATTTTTGTGCTCCTTTCTGCTTATTTAAACCTCATTCAGCAAATGTGTTATTTATTCAGCTAATTTAGGCCAGTTCTTCCATTTCAGCTAATTTCAGCTGTTTTTCTGCTAATTCTTCTGCAATAAGCATTCACACTGTATTTTCACAGTAAGCGCAATGTCTCTAGTCTAACATTTTCTCTGTGCGCAGTCACAGTTGTCATTTTAATCACAAGTCCTTTAGTTTTAATATCGTTCTGACACATTAATTTTACTGCTCTCTCTGTAACAGAGGGACTTTGGACTTTTCGCCGTGTGCTAATTTCATTAAGTTTTATCAAAGTTCTCGTCTTTTTCCTCAGCTTTGGTTTTTCAGCTGCTGTCCTCTCAGCGCTTCTTGTTCTTTGCTTTTCCTCCAATCTGATGACATTATTAAAGCACTTTTAATGATTTCTTCATGCTGGAAACTTTTTTTATATGCTGTATTTTATTAACTCATTTGATTTAAACAAACCCTTTCATTAACATGTGCCATTTTTTTATTTGTTTATAGCTTTGTGCTTTGTATAAAACCATGTTTCATTCCAAAAGCAGCTTAATGAAAACTGTATTACGCTTTTTAATAAAATAAGTAAATAAATAAATTAACTAATGGAAAAAAAAACACTAATGTTTTGGTCTGCTGTCTTTAATTATAGTATAAAATTGTACGGTTCATTTATTGTTTGAATATAAATCATAAATTGCTCTTTTTTTTTTCCACCTCAGTTCCTCTTTCAGCTCCAAAGAACCTGCGAGTCTCGGAGGAATGGTACAACCGTTTCCGGATCAGCTGGGACCTTCCACCTTCACCCACCATGGGCTACAGGGTCGTCTACCAGCCGCTTTCTGGTAATTCTAACAGAAATGAGCTAATTCTTCATGTATTTACTTGAAATTTAAAAATCATAGCAATTATACCGATCATGACGTTAGGATATCTGAGCACTTGCAAAAATTATTACAAATTATAAATGCATGTTTTAAGATATATGAACGTATAATAGCACCCTGACTGTCAGTAGTTATAAGTTTTCTTCAGAAGGTGTAAAGTGGTGAATTAAATCAAGGAATTTAAGCAGATTTCTGGAGCTTAAAGTTATGCCTGCAGCTAAAGGCTTGAGGCAACGATAGACACGTTTCTTCTAAACTGTGTTGGTTCTTCCAGGGAATAAATATGTGCAAATCATGGAAATGTTTAACGCTAGTTCTGCTTTAATATGAGTCTGAGAAGTTAATGTAAAACTTGGATTTAAGGAGCTCCCTCCAAAGAAAAACTAAGAACAGCATGGTCCAGCTTTTGTGTACTTCGTGTGCAACTATAAACACATTTAGCAGAAATATAAATTTCAAAAGGCAAATTCTAAGCTAAAATATGGAGCTTCTTTTACAAATATCATCTTTGGAATACATTTTCCACCAGTGTGCATCTGAAATGAAATTCATCCTTTCCGTTTTGCCACATCTGACACTAATGATCACCTCTGAACCCGCTCATTTTTCCTTTAACTGGCCATTTATTCCATCTTGACATGTCTCCTTTAATTATTCTGCCCCTTTGCAGCCCCCGGAGCGGCTCTGGAGACCTTTGTGGGCGAAGACGTGAGCACCATGCTGATTTTAAACCTGCTCAGTGGGACAGATTACAGTGTCAAGGTCATCGCCTCCTACACCACTGGATCCAGTGAGGCTCTGTCAGGAAGGGCCAAGACCTGTAAGTTTATTGTCTTTTTATTGGCGTTGACATCTCAATATCTGTTATGTTATTGTAATACATACAGGTACTGTAGTTAAAATATATATTTAAAGGTATACAATATAGGAAGCACTGAATTTATAGTAAATCAATAATGGCTAATTTCCGAATTCAGAAAATTACAGGGTATTATATTTTTACTGGTTATAGTCTTTTTATCTTGTCATGTGAACTTTTTAAATAAATTTAGACAATTTACGTCCCATTTCATAACTTTTCATTGCATTTTTCTCCGCCCTCTGACATTTTTAAAGGTGGTAAATCACTGAGCTACATCAGAAAACAAAGGGTCAAATGATGTCATCTGGACAGGTTATTTTTGGGAGAAACGTTTCATCTTTATAAGACAGATCTGGGTTGGCAGGCCTCAGACTGATGAAGTCTTTTGAATAAAAGACGAAACGTTTCTCCCAAAAAGAAACTGTCCAGATGACGCGATTGAACCCTTTTTTGTTATTTATGTACCAGATGGTTGAGCTTTCAAACCTTTCATTGAGCTAAAATTTTAGAGAAAGACATATTTTCTTTTTCAGCCTTAAATAATTTTAAATGTTTGTGACCAGCAAACCATGTGGTTGTGTTTTGCATTGCCAGTTTATAAAAAATCATGGGCTATTGTTGAGCGCACGGCTTCAAAATTTGCGTTCCTTCCCATGAACAATATGTTATTTTTCACCTCTGCTCACGTTTTACTCTCCATGCCTTGCTTTGTACCCACATCTGCCCTTGTGTTTATAATTTTTCAGCTGGAGAACAGTTTTTAAATTAATATAGGTAGATTTGGACCAGTTTTTTAATCATTTTAATAATTCACAATAGTTTAAGTTTTAGACTCGGATATGTTTTCAAGTGCAAGTTTAAGAATCTTTATTATCCCCAAGGGGCAATTTATTTTAGTCAATAGCCACATGAAACATCCATACTAGACAAGGCATTAAGACATAAAAATAACAGTACAGAAATCATAATTGTTCACTGAGAACCATGACTGCTACAGGGGTGAATGAGTTTTTCAGTCTGTTCCTCCTACATCTGGGCAGCAGATACCTGCGTCCATATGGAAGCAGCCTGAACTCACCATGGAGTGGATGATCAGGATCTGCCAGAATCAGCCTGGCCTTGTTCACTGACCTCGCCTCGTGTAGGTCAATGAGAATCAGTACGGCTTAACCATTCTCTGTTGGACCTTCTTACAAAGTGAGTTCGCGTGTGCATCAAAGAACTGTCAGAGAACTCCTGTTCAGGTGTCAAAATATAGATTTAATCCAATCGAGGTGGGTCACAGATGCTAATGACTAAGTTCAGATGGGTTTGAGACATCTGTAATGACTCTGTGAATACTTTGCGATACAGACAGTACACGGATTTGGTCAAAACTCAAGCGACAGAACTGCGCACCTCTTTCAGTCATGAACTGATCCACTTTGAACATCGCAAGGCATTCTGGAAATCTCTTGAAAGCCGTTCACGTAGTTGTATCCTAGTGAAGTTCTACGTTGACCCACAACTCTGCATGACATTTTTCTTGTCTTTTGTTTTTTAAATGTTTATAAAGAGCAATGTTTATAATTCTAATCACACGAGGGGATGGGACATTCACAGATGTCAGCATCTTGATGTCTAATTGTTACTTTTAACAGTGATTGTGTTTAATTATACCTCAGCCTGGGAATGAAACGTAGAGGCGGTGAATCTAAATGGTTTTACTGGCTACGTGGAGCTTTCCCAAAGCTCGTTAAACGTCTGGCTTGGATTGTTTAATCAGTTAGATTTGAAGCCTGGATTTCCCCTCCCTTGCATTTTAATTAACTTCTTTACAGCCGTGGAGTTTTATTGTAATTGCCCTTTTTGACTCAGAGATGTCACCAATTTGATCTGACAGTCTTAAAAGTGACCAGCGATATCAGAGAGTGAAATCCCACCTGATCATCTATTTTCATTCCTTTGTATAGACAAGTAGCTAAACTCACACATGTACCTCTTTGCGTCGGTGCCAATTTTCATCACTTGCATAGCAATTAGGCTCATCTTGGGTGAATTAAAGGACACGGTGAGAAAGTCAAACAGGAGAGCAGTGAAGGTAACAACTAAGTGAAAAAGATGGAGAGATGGATTTATTGGAAAAGAGAGAAAGATGATTAGGCCCGTGCCATCCCAGGAGGTGAATGGAGCGTCTGTCATTTCGCTCAGCAGCATGTTAATGAAGCCAGTGGAGCGGAAGGGATGAGTGAGCTGATGCGTCAATGTCAAGTATTGTTTTCAAGAACAAAAAAAAATAAATAGTTTTGCTCCAGATTTCTTTGTAATACCTGTTACTTGTGTGAACTTATTAGTCGGCAGTTTATTCCTATTAAAATACCCTGAAAATGGTAAAAGAATATACTTAATGCGTTGAAAGAAACCCTGTCTAATTATCTCTGTAAATCAAATGGTGAGCTTTTTAAGAGACATAAGATGCAGAGAGGGTCAGTTAAGCGTTTGTATGAAGGTCAAATTCATGAAGATTAGATCTTCAACCCAAATGTTCTGTTTTGTTTGATGTTGTGTGATATATTGAAATTTTCGAGGCCATTTCTCATTCAGCAACGCACAAAAGCCTTTCAGCTCCAAACAACTTTTACTTCCAAGAGTCAAAAGCTAAAAGCACATATGTTCCATTTGCATAAATAGACTGCGTGGGTTTGTTTAGGAGTGTGTGTGCACAAACGTACACTCTTTGAACAAACACAGTGCAGCCATGTTTCTCCATATGTCTGCAACTAACTTCATGGAAATGCTCTTTGGTGTCCTTGAAACGGAGCAGCCACACGCTTTAAGTTCGTCATGTGTGGACATGATTGCATGTGGTCTCTCTGATGTGAGCTCGTGGCGGCTTTATGTGGATTTATTTTAGCAGTGTGGAGGGAAGACCGCTCACGGCTCTGTAATGAACATTTTCAGAGTTCCAGAAAAGTTTTGTTTTATGTCCCAGTGCTATTTCTGTTTGCACTTCATACCAAGATTTCTGCAAAGTCAGAGGAGTTAGGCAGCATCTGCCAAAACTCTCTGCTATTGTGCAATTTGCGGTGATGATGTTAAAGTAAAAATAAATTAAATACATGATGTAGATTCACCGACTCCGTCATAAAACGTAAATCTTATGTGTCTGTCTTTTCTTTCCTACAGTGTACCTCGGGGTGACTAACCTGAGTACTTATCAAGTGAGGATGTCCAGTTTGTGCACCCAGTGGCAGCCTCACCGGCACGCCAGTACATATAGAGCAGTTATCCAGTCTGCGGTTGGTGAGTACAGATGCCGCTTAAATTATTATATATTATATTATATATATATTATTATTATTATATTTTTTCTACACCATCAACTCTTTATTCCAATCAATCTACTGTAATTCCAATCCACCCTTTTTGGAAAAGTGTGGATTGTTCTCTTTGGGTCGAGGGTGAGGTTCTACCTCAAGTGGAGGAGTTCGAGTATCTCAGGGTTTTGTTCATGAGTGAGGGGAAAAAATGGAGCATGAGATTGATGGATTGGTGCAGAATCTGCATTATCGCGGACTCTGTGCCGGTCCATTGTGGTGATGAGGGAGCTGAGCCATAAGGCAAAGCTCTGTTAACTGGTCAGTCTACATTCCTACCTTCACCTATGACCATGAACTCTGGGTAGTGACCAAAAGATACAGGCAGTTGAAATGAGTTTCCTCCGCAGGGTACCTGGACTCTCCCTTAGAGATAGGGTGAGAAGTTCAGTTATCCGGGAGAGACTTGGAGTAGAACCGCTGTTCCTCCACATCGAGAGGAGCCAGTTGAGTTGCTTCGGGCATGTGTGACTGGGATGAGACCCCGGGGAAGACCCAGGACACGGTGGAGAGACTATGTCTCTCAGTTGTCCTGGGAACACCTTGGGGTCCCCCCAGAATAGCTGGAAGAGGTGGCTGTGGAAAGAGATGTCTGGGTCTCCCTGCTCAAGCTGTTGCCCCCGCAACTCGACTTCAGAACAAGCAGAAGATGATGGATGGATAGATGGATGGATGGATGGATGGATAGAAGGATGGATGGATGGATGGATGGATGGATGGATGGATGGATGGATGGA